TTTAAGACACCTAAATGTTTATGTGTAGATCTGCACATGTGAGCTGTCTGAGCTGTGCAATGTCAGAGTCACTGTAGGTGATGGAAATCTGAAGTGACTTAAGCTAGTACCAGCTGGGATGCTTGTATGTCTGCGTGGGACTGGTAGGACCAACAGCAGAGCTGTGCTGTTTTGTTCTGAGCTGGCAGCTGGAGGCGAGCAGATCTGTCCCAGTGGTATCCAAAATATTCCCTGGAGAATCTTTTTTTGCAGTTACTTTATTTACCTGTGATGTCACTCAAACACCTTCACGGTTCAAGTGGACTGGCTGTGCTTGGGAACAGCTGGGGCACAGGCCTGTCTCTGGGTATCATCTTTACTGTGGAGCAAAGAGTGTGCCTGGCAGGTGAAGTTTTATTCAAGAGTTAGAATTAAGACACAGGTTATTACTGTACTTGTCATGTGAGCAGCTCAGCTTTATAATCCTAAAGGGAAAGATTTTATTTTGTATTTTTTCCCCATTAAGTTCTCCAGTAATACCTAAATAATTTGCCAAAACCAGAACAGTTTGCTAAAACCAAAAAAAGCCAATGATTTGCCAGAGCAAATCCAGAGTCATGAGGCTGATTCCCAAAATCAAGTAGGTTATCGGTTTTCTATTCATCAGGTTTTGACTCTCTTCTGTGATCCTGAGAGCTCATCCAGTCCTAATGCCACTATCTCCAGTATACTTTGTGGACTCTAACACACCCTCACACAACATAACTTCTCCTTTGAGCCCTTTCCCAAGCCAATGTTAACCCACTTCAGCTGTTCTTACAATTTTCGGCGTTCTCTTAACCTGTAGTGTAGCAGACCCTTGGCTTCACAAAGAACCAACCACATGGAGGACAGAAAAGCCACAGTGAGGTGCCCCTCAGTGCTTTGCTTTTTCCCTCTAGTGAGAATGGTGCAAGCTGCTCCCCTTCTTGTACCAAACCCATTGGTCAAGAGGAAAACAGGGCAAGGAGTCCTGGCACCTGCCCTGGCTGGAGTCTTACCCATAGGAAGCAGAAGACAGGCAGGCAGGCAGAGAGGGTTTTTTCCCAGGCACAGGTGAAATATTCAAGAGGGCCAAAGCTGGCAGCACTGCTACTAAACCCGCCTGCTCACTTCCACGTGGGAAAGGTATTCTTTTGGTTCCTGATATCCACTCATCATTATTACGTACTATTGCCAACCCCTGGAGAAACATGACTTTTGAAAAACCATTTTGCTTATGAAGTTACCAGATTTGCCCATCCTAGATTTTATTTTATTCTTGAGGTATCCAGATGGAAGCAACATGTTTGATGTACTTAAACCTATAAATTTTTTTTCATCTTCTGGTTCAGCATTTTGACACATGCAATTTAGCTTATAACGCGAGGTTCATGCCTCGGAGCAATGCATTTTGAGGTCACAGGCAAAAAGCCAATCGCCAGCTACTTGTATCGAGTTATATTTCAAATTCTCTGAAAGAAGTCAAAATTTAGAAGGCTTTCCTCATTTTTATTGATGCATCAAATTATCACAGGGCGGATTCATTTCAAAAGAGGAAAACAAAAACCCCAAAAGACCTTGATGTGGGTCTTTGCAGCCAAATTCCTGCAAGCTGCTCTGTGCCAGTCAACCCTCACACCACTAGGAAGTCTATTGGCTGCACAGATACTAGCAAATCATTTTTAATACCTCATTTCAGGTCTTTGGAGATTAATTTTATCATAAATTTGGAAGCCTGATTTAATTGCACTAATTATATTTTCTCCTGGGAGTTGATGGATTACTACTTACCATCTTCTTGCTGTACATAATGAATCACAGTGAGGCTTTCTCTTATTTATACCTACTACAAGTCTAAGAAATGAGTTGTGATAGGCATTAAATAAACATGTAAGAAGTTACCCTAAACCATTTGCTACATGTTCTTACTCATTTCACTCTGTTCTCACATATGATGATAACGATCCTGTTCTTCTGGAAATAATTGTAGAAACTCCATTTAAATTCTCTTTCTGTGGGGAATCCTCTGAAGAGAGAGCATATTTCAGACATGCGAGACATCTACTGTTCCTCATCACGTTGCTCTGTTAACGTCCATTCTCATCTATTAATTTTTGAACCTAACTCTGTAGATGTGGGAGTCCTTATGGCCACCACACTCCTCCGTACTTGTGAGTCCATCAGATGCAATCATGTGCATATCAGAGGTTTGATTTTGTGGCTACTGGAATTCGCCACTGAATGGAAGCAGGCATTAGGTGACATCCTGTCATAGAATAAAGTTCATCTGTCACATTCAAGTGCCAGTCACCGGGGTATCTTTTATATGGCTTTGGAAAATCATGTTGGCTCCTGCTCTCTGAATTACCTCCCCTGCTCAGCGTTCATCTCGTGAAAAAACTTATAATCAATATTTATCATTTATGTGGAAAGAACAGTCCACTCCTAAAATTAAGTGACCTTTAAAATGGTGTGCTTTCTGTCATCTTAATTCCTCCTGTGGATTTTTTTTTTTTAAAGAAGTTATTTTTTAGGGGTGAGGGGGGCTCACAAGGGCTGGTTCCCCACCCCCATCTTCACGTCTCCTGTTAATAGTTTTGTTCTGAAATCTTTCCCTTTCTCACTGGCTTTTGCGGCCAGAGCAATAGCCATGTTACACCTCTGGTTCAGCCTTGATGCTGAACTACTAGCTAGGGACTGTTTCTGACCCCCCCCAGGGTCCCTCCCCTCCCATGCAGAAAAGTGAGGTCCCATGCCCCTTCCCATGGCAAAGAGGCTCCTTCCTGGGCGTCTGTGTGCCCTGGTCACACTGGGGGACAGAGGAGTGGGGGGAGAGCCTGAGCTACACTGCTTGGGCAGTTGGACATTGTGTAGACTTGTGGGATTTCAAGTACGAGTTGCAGCTGCCGAGGGGTTTCTTCTGCTGACCAGAGCTAACAGGTAGGGTGCTGCGAACCACCAACTCTAGCAAGCTCAGCTGAGAGCTGAGAAGGAGGACTCACATCTCTTTAGTTTCCTGAGCCGATGGAAATAGGATTTTGAAAGCTGCTGTCATTTGTCTGTCTGTTTACTCCCTTTTGTAAGTTGCATTTTCTCAAATGCGGTATCACCTAAAGGTGGATCCTTCTTTCAGATATGACAATCATTTCCCCTTAATTCATCTTGATAGTTTGTTCATCTTTGTGGAACAGATCTTCACGAGGAGAAAGAAAGGCACATTTCCTTCAGGAGCAAGTCATGAACCCACTAAATTGAAAAGCTCTGATGTTCTGTCGCATTAACTCTGTCCCTACAACGTAGCAATCACACTTGCTAAATGGCGACATTCATAATAACATTAGAAAACATGTGCACGAGGTTGTGATGGCAACCAGGATACCTAACTACCTGGTGTTACACACAGTGCCCTCCTCATTTATGCCTTTGTGAATGATGGATGTAGGGGGAAAAGAATCAGTATTTTTTCCATTTTTTCTCACAGTTGACAGAATATGTGGATGATAACTGGACCTCCTGTTAAGCTATAGTCCTGTCAGTTTAATGCTATGAAAAAATACGGAATAATGTTATATTAATATAGAAGTATATGACACATAATGTAATTTATTACACAAATTATGTAATTATATATTTATTTATATAAATGATGAGTGTGGGTGTATAATGGTACGTAAACCCACAGGAGCAGTTTTCCAGGGTTTCTGTCACTGTCATACTGAAGTGCTGACACTGCTGTGAGCAGGGGGGTGAGTGCCTATTTAAGACTGTAAGTGGCAGCAAGCATTATTTTCTTCTGCTTTTGACCTACCTTTCCCCGTTTCTGAATAGCTGGCATTCAGTGCTTATACTAAGCCAGTTATCTGGGTAGGACTTGCTTATTAAAAATCACAGACATTTTAAATCACACCGCTGATGAATCAATGAATCTCTTAGTGGTCGTATTACTGTAGAGTCTTGGAGGTTTCTGACTCCAGCCAAAGCACAGATTGCTTTGAATGATACCCTTTGATCTCAGTGCAGCCTTAAACAGTGGTCAGGATTTTTCCAGATCCCTTGGTGTTATTTTCACCTTTTCGGTGTAATCAATAGTAGCAGTGCCATTCCCACACGGCCTGGCCAGGCCATGTTTAGGCTAACGCTCACCACTCCCCTTATCCCACTGGTGCCTTCATTTGCTCTCTCTCCCATATAGTTCAAATCAAATACTTATTTCAAAATAATATATTTGTTCTCCTTTAAAACTACCCTTGGATCTGACGCCCAAAAAACCTTGAAGCCATTTAAGCAACTTTTGTCTTGGAGCTATTGCCTGTGCAGTTGATGTGTACAGCCCCTTGGTTTCCCCCTTGCCAGCTGTACCTCTGCTGCATTCGTGCTCCGTGTTTTTATGCAGGAGCTAAGACAGAAGGCTCTGGTTCATTACTCTGGCTCCTACAGTGCAAGCAAATTATAATAGTTTAAACACACTTTAGTTTATTTTTAGTCTGAAGGATAACAGTGTGGGAAAGCTGGAGAGTGGAAAACCAGGCAGAGAAATTCTGATGTTTTAGCTTTTTTTCTTCTTCAGGACCTTTGTGGTGAGTAAGGCAAAAAGAGGTAGCAGGTGAGAAACGTGGGTTATGGCTGGTGTGAAAGTCCTGACTCCCACTAGGTGTGATTTCTGCAGTGTTTTTACTGGGGGCATCCCTGGCAGGGGGAACATGGAAGGGAATTCAGGCAGTGTAAACACGTGCCTGCTCTGTATCTGTGTGCATGGTGAAGTGGTGTTCAGCCACAGCTGCTGTGCCAACCAGGCAAAGCTGCCTCTGGGGAGAAGGACTTGCCTCTGGGGAGAAGACAGAGCTGACACAGGGCAGCCCAGGAAACAGCTCTGGCTTTTTCCCTTAATTACTGTATGGGGGTAAGGCAGTGGGGGGCTCAGTAGCTTTGAGGACAAGGCAATCCCCAGAATTACTCATCTTACAATTCTTTTCGGTCTCCTTTTTCTATTTTTTTTTGCACAGAGTTGAATGTAAGAGAATCTGACGTAAGAGTGTGTGATGAATCATCATGTAAGCACGGAGGAGTGTGCAAGGAAGAGGGCGACGGCTTGAAATGTGCGTGTCAGTTCCAGGTAAGGGCTGCTTACCTTTTTGTTTGCCATTTCTGACCAATCTTTCGGGTATATTGAAATATTTGTAGAATCACCACTTTAAAAATTCTAATCAGCAGTAGGTTTATATAGTCTATCCATGGGCTCCTTTTTCAATGGCACTGATTGGGATGGTATGTGACTGAACTTCACCAGGGTGTGCTCAGGGAGCAAGTGGAGAGTGTAGCATCACATTAGCTCCCTGCATGGTTTTGGTAAGTCAGTCAGCAGCACAGACCAAGGTGGGGAAGAACAGAGGGCCACCACATGCCGGGCACCCACGGCCCGCCCGACCGGCACGAGCAGAGGTGGGGAGTGCTGGATGACACCCACTCTCTGCCTCCCCACCTTGCCTCGTCCTGCCCTGAGACCTGAGATGGGAGGGGAGGTGACCAGGAGCAGGGCATCCAAGTGTTGTCACACACACCAGATGAGGCTTTGTCATTTGAATGCAGTACTTATTATGGATTGCTTAGTCTAATAACCAGTATTTGGAGGATTCTTCCCTGCTCTGCTGGTGGCCAAATGTGTTACATTAGAACCTGGAAGATCTTAAGGCATTTTGAAAATCAGATAGTAACAGGATCATCAGTGATCATAAAGTTTATGAATGGAAACAGTGAATTAGGCTCACTCAGGTGAAAAAAAATGATTAAAAAATATCCTCTGAACACTGAAAAAGTAGTAAATAGCAAGTTCGATTTGCTTCGTTGGTTTCTGAGCCTTTAGTTTACAGAGTTGATAACTATCATGACCTTCCTCCCCTCCCACCCTCCACTTTTTAAAGAAAAGAGAATACTGAGGTTCTTTGACAATTTATAGCCAGGACAAATGTATCAAATATTATGAGGCTCCTGGTAAAACTGGAAGAGGTGGCAGTGTTACCAACCAACCCTGGAGTGAGCTGCTATCTTTCAGTGTTTTGAAAATAATCGTGTGTTCTGTTTCCAATAAATAATAAATCAAGGGGAACCAGAATAGCAACAGTGTGTATGTGATCTTCCACTGGTTTTGGATTTCAGTGTTTCAGAGCTGGCTTTTGATGTAGTGTCATTCAGGTGGGTACCTATGCTGGGGGCAGTCTGCAGCTTACATCCCATAAGAACAATGGGATCAGACTGCCTTTTAAAGGGAAGAAAGATTTTTAGAAGAAGAGATTTATTCATCAGTCTTCACTTTGTAACTTATATTTATGAAAAATAATAAATAAAAACCCAATAATGATTAAAAAAAAAAAGGGGAAAGAAATTCAACCCTAGGCTAAGCAAAAGTTTCATTTTTTTTCTGTAGGTGGTAAATTTTATGACTTCCTAATATCCAGATCGTGAGGACTAAAAAAGATACTTTTTCTTGAAGAACCTATTTTAAAAACTAATACTACTTTTAAGCTAATTATAACTTTACTCGTACGTCTTTAAAATTTTAAGGAAAGAAGTTTAAAGATGAGGAGAAGCTAGGTTTTACAAAACCTAAATTAAAAACTGATCAACACCTAGTGAGTGTTTTATGGACCAGTGGGAGGATGTGAGGTGGGAGAGAGTCAACACAGGGCTCTTTTTCAATCTTGTGAAGAAAGGCTTGACAATGAATGGTTTAGTAAGGTAACTACTTTAATAAGACATAATAGGAAAAGGAATATAGATAGCAAGAAAACCTTACTACCCTCCACATGCTGGGCACTTCGCAATCGCACGGCGTTGGATGGAGCCCAGATGGATTTTCCCATGGGACAGTGTGCAGAGCGCATCCCGTCCATGAAGAGTCGCTCTCCCTTTTGGTCATTCAAGGTATCAGAGGATTTCCTCACAAGAAAACAGCTGTACTCCTAAAGGATGTTTGCATGAGAACTTTTGGCTGCACTGTACCAAATTCCTAAAGGCTTCCCAAACTGTAAAAAAAAGAATCATTTTGCCTCTCATTTTCAATCCTGAGGACAGAAACCTGCAACTTTAAAGCATCACACAGCAACTTTAAGATTTAATAGAGAATTATCTATTGTAGAGTATTATTTCCCCCAAGAGTTGCCTGTTTAATTATTCCCTAGATGTGACTGTTCAGTGTGAGATATGACAGGACTGACAGTTGTGGTTGAATGTCTGAGAACTACTCACTATAGGAAAGTATTACAAAACTGTTAGAAATAATTTTTGAGGTTTGTGTATGCCAAAGCACAAAGAAACTGTTGTGGCAAAGACTGTAGTTTGGAATTTTAATAAGAAACTCTTGTTCTTTTGGGGCAGTTTAGCTTAAGTAATGCTGCTGTTTCTGTGTGAACTCTTGCTGGTTGAACTATACCAGTTTAATCATGCACTTTGTACGATTAAGAAATTTGGTGGCTGGTCTGTGTCTTTCTTCCCTGCTTTTTGTTGTTTGGCTTTTTTTGCCCTAGGGTTTTAAAGCTGCAAAACGTGTCTGGGTTTACAGTTACCAGTGCAGCCCCAAACAGGGCAACATCTCCTTTTCCATGCAGTGAAGTGGAATGGATGTCCAGTTCAGTGGGGAGCGGTGAAGCATCGCAGGTGTTAGGCAGATTGGCTGTCTCAGTGTGTTTCCCAGCGGTTTAATACACATTATACATACAAGGGGTATATAATCCATCTTGCTTAGACTGTAAGAAAACAGCAAAATACAGCCTGCTCCTGCCAAAGCCATGCTGAATGATAAATTTCCCTTTCTTCCATTTTTTTTTGTTAAATGTACCAGTGCTACTGACTTTGGGCTCAGAATTTTTCACTATAGGAATACAAAAGTATTATTATAGTTGTTAACCAGGTAAAACAGACTCATGATGCTCATTAATTTAATGAAGATGGTGATTGTTTTCCATCTCCCCTGAAAGATCCCTCTGTGATCAAAAAATTAGCAAATCTCCACGTAGGCACTGTTACCCTTAAATTTCCCTTTGCTCAGTCATCCCACTGTGCCTAGTCATAAATTCTTGCATTATCTTGAAGCAGTTTTTTCTTTCCTCAGTGTGTTTATCCTTCAAATACTTCTAGATGCTTGTCATATTCCCTCTAGCCATTGCTGAGTTCCGCTATACTTACTTTGTTCTTTTAATCTTTCCTACTGAATCCCTGTGTTCAGCCCATACAGAATTGGACTATTACTTCAGTGATCTGAAAGGAATACATACAGTGATATTGAGAAACTAATATATTTTAAATCTCTCTTTTGTGAACAGGATTATAAATTACTGCTAGTAATTCATATTTACACAACTATCTTCCTGTATATTAATATGCAGTTGAGATTAATCACAGAACTTTGTATGACTGAGTTACTTTATAATATCCTTTTCAGTGTCACACAAACTATATTCCTGTTTGTGGATCAAATGGAGACACTTACCAAAATGAATGCTTCCTCAAGAGAGCTGCTTGCAAGCATCAGAAAGAGATAACAGTGGTATCAAGAGGACCTTGTTATTCTGGTATGTAAAACATCACTTTGTGTCACTAATGAATGATATTATATGGTTAGCTCTTTAGTTTTGCCCTTAATTCCAGCCAGTGTAATTTTCATGCTTTTCATAGAATGAAATAATGAGGAAATCCCAAGTCCTCTTTAGCATTGCAATATTTTTATAGAGAAGAAATCTGATATAACTTCCGATATGCTAAGATATTAATAAATAAATATTAAAAGTAGAAATACTCGATCTGAGAAAACAGTTTGTGAATGCTTCTGTTGTATGTATAGAGGAGCCTTGATACTCATCAAAAGGCTTACAACATATTTGGAGCAGACTCCAAATTAGTAATTTCTTCAGGACTCATTTTTTGGATGTACAAAATTACTGTGACGTCCAGCAAGTGACACTGATCATCCTGACTGCCACCCTGCCTCTATCCAAGGCATCATCTTTCACTAATTCCACTTTGGGTCATTACCTTGAAGGTATACACAGCTCTTAGAAAATCATTGTACCACATTTCTAACAAACTGGCCTTTTCTGTCTTTCCACGCACTTTAAATACAGATTTTCCACATGCTTAAAATACATGGGACAAGTTTTCACTGTCTTGAATATAGCAACGTGCTCTTGAACACAGAAACTTCTGCCACTGGAAGTCTTCTGAACCTCTGGGCAGATACAGAGCTGGTGAGACCAGACATGTGGCTATCTTTCTCAGAATTCAATTAAATGATTCAGCAGCATCAACAACTGCACACTCGGGTACATAATAGCACACAAAAAAATTTACGTTGTCGGACATCCCTCATCTTTGGATACACCATAGTTACTCGGATTAGCCTAAGCAAGGTTACATCTGTGTGGCAGCCTAAGCATGATTACAGAGCAGGTGCACACTCCTAGCTAGCTTTACACTGGACAGTCTTGTTATTGATGACAATTTTAGGTATGCTGCTGAGGTAGCAGCCTGGAACTCACTGGTAGTTGCAACCTCCCACCTGGAAATCAGGGTAAATATTTGGGCAGTGTGCCTAGGCTAAGTTCCTTGATGCTGCTGCTAGTCCCAGAGCTGCCTCACTTAAATGCAGTGTGGCTGTTTTTTACACAAGCTGCTGTAATGCCCTTGACTGCAGCATGGACCTATACTGAGATTTGGGGTTGTTTAGCAAGGTCCAAAACAATCTATGACTTGTCCTAGAACTGACAGAAACCTGCATTTTGTGCTCAGCTCAATTGCATAATTCCAGCATACCTCAGGCAGATGACTGAATCTACCTTCTTTGTCAATCTCCCACCTCAGGCTAATGACTGAATCTACCTTCTTTCTCAATCTCCCACCTGTAAATTATCTCCAGATGCTGCACAAATAGGAAAAAAATGTGCTACAGTTTTGGAGCACTCACATATTCCTATAACAACAACCAAGAAGTACGAAGGTTCAAACTGAGGATGTATAATTTTTTTTTTTTTAATTCATGCCCAAATTATTTTAGGAAACAGACTCACAACATGAATGTTTCTTTCCCTCACTAAAACAAAATACTAGGATAATTTTTTGGGAACAACAACCAAAAAAAGTGATTATTTTTATATGTATTCTACTCTACTAAGAAAAAGACATTTTGAAATGAAAAATTGATTCTTCTCAGCCTCAGGTTGCTGGCAGCTAATTACTAGGTTACTCTGCTAGACTGGGATTTTTTTTAGCCTCCTTCTCCTTTTCTTCAAGTCCTACATAAAACCCAGGAAATGCAGCATAATTTTTAGCACTTAGTGTAATAGATCAAGACATGTGCTGAGACACAATTGACCAGAAAGTACTGCGAACACATTTCTGAAATGGAGGATGCGATTCGGGCTGCATACTGCATTTACACTGGTGCAATTTAAAGCACTTCATGGGGGTCTACCAGAATGGTACCTGCAGCCCCAAGTGTCTGATGTGCTATGGCTGATGAGAAAATATTTGATGATAAAAGCCATCTTCTGCAACTTGTCCATACCTTGGTCATGGAGAAGTCAACATATTTGTACTCTTGGTCTGTAACACATATATGTTGAAAATCAAATGCCCAAATTAAAAAATCCTTTACAGATCCCCATTCATTTCCACTGTGTGCTTCCAAATTTGCTATGAAAATACTTTGTTGTAGGATGTCACTGGGAGCTAAGTATAGATTCACTGGTTTCCTATCAGAGTTTTGTTCTTTCAAAGCAAAGCTTCATCCTGGCAGGACGCATCCGAGACAATAGGGCAAAATTCCCCCACGGTGTTGTAAAAAATATTTAATATTTAAAGGATGTCAGACTTCTGAATCTCATACAAGAATTAAATACTTCCCATTTACTAGGGATTGATACCTTCTGAAGCTACAGCAATAGAACAGAATATATGTGTGATTTAGTCAGACCTATTTCTTGGCAGGTAACATTTTGATTACATTTTTAGTCATGGGTGTTTTAACAGCATAATTTCCTTTGTCCGAGTGCAGTCACAGTTGCAAGATCCTAAAATAAGCAACACTAAAAAAATCAGCAGTCATATGTGCGTTAGGAAGGAACAAAATGCAAGTTTTGACATTAAAAATGGTGGTTTTGAGAGAGGTAAGAGAATATATGGGTGAAGTTTTCAGGACTGCATATACAGGTCTTAACATTGTCAAAGCCCATTTTTCAGTGAAGGGGCATTGAGGTTTTTTTCAAAATACTGGGTTTACAGAGGTGTTTCTATGCCCGATTACCCCTGGCACAAGCTGTGGAGGACAAGGGTCTGTCGGTTGCAGCCAATGCATGTAGCGCCATGTTGCGAAATACAGAGAAACCAGGAAAACAACTGAAATGCAGCTGTAGTGTTCTCTTTGCCTAATACCTTAATACACCTTTGAGAAATGATGGGTCAAATCAAACCATACACAATTTTTGCCTACGCCTAGCCTGACCTCTTGTTTACCTACTGAAGCAATCAGCCTGTCTATGACTGGGCGGAGACAAACAGGGCTGCGAAGCCAAGCTCTTGCTGGTAGTAATTCCCATCTTCCACAGCTTCTCCTCCTTGATCTGTGGGATTATATTATGAACAAGATCAGAGCACTGTCTCAGCCTTTTCCTTTTGTTTTTTATTTCTCACCCTTGTCAGTTCCCTGTTTGCAGTTCAGCCCACAACCAAATGCAGAGACAGGTACCATGCAGCAGGGCACGGGGAGATGGCAATACCTATGCCAGTACTTCTGCCAAGCTCACAGCATCAGCCGTCTTGCTGCTGACCTGAAATGTTGTTCAGTTCATAAAAGGGGACATTACACTGAAATTCATTCATGTTAGGCCATCCTCTACCAGAGGTTGTTCTGAACTGGCTTGCTAAACAGATTTAAGAGACCAGGAAAAGAGGTCAGTCAGGGTGCTCAGAGCATTGATTAGGAGTGTCACCAAGTCCCTTGATTTCTTCTGCCTCCTTTTGTTGGTGAATTTATTGCTGTTTATTAGTTTAAATAAAATAAATTAATTTAATAAATAAGAAATAGACTTTTAAGATTAATTTCTAAGATTGTGTGTTCCTGTTAGCACACAGAGCCACAATTTTGACTGCTGTCAGATTTATATCATATGCACATGAAAATGTAACCACACAATGTTGTAATACTTGATATATTGTACTTACAGATTCTCAGTGTACTGTATATATTTGCAAGGCACAGTTCACTGCTTTTTCTATTGGGATTTCTAAAGTTAAAAAAAAAAAAAAGCTATTTGCAGAACTAGAAACAAACACTATGGCTCTGTTAGATTTAAGGAACGATTGTCTTAAAAGTAGCTTTAACTTTCTTCTTCAGTCTAAAGTAATCAAACACAACCTGAATTTGAATGCACAGTTTTTTACAGTTTCTTTTTTTTTTTTGTAGGAGGCTTACAGTAAAACATAATTAGATGCACACATTGTCCTGAAAAGAAATATAGTAAGCTCAGTTTAATCCTTTTGAGGGAGTTAAGGAAGAAATTCTAGGCAACTCACTTCTAGATTAAGAAAGTGTAAAAATAACTCTATCCTCTCACAAGAAAGCCATAACAAACCTGAAATCCTGCTATAAATACATATATTCATTCTGAGAGCTGGCAGAGACCCTTACTCTCAGATTCAGTGAGGTACAGGAGCTTTCCTGTCCAGCATGCAAGGAGAGTTTGCAACAGCACAGCATTGGCTTTCTGTCATTAGGAAATGTTTTGGAAGCAAAGAACAAGATATACTCAGACATACCTCATCAACACATGCCAGGATTTAATATCCTGTACTTTTTTTTTTTTTTTTTTTGCATAGCATTATCAAGCAGGAAATAGCTATCAGGATGATGTGATGACAAATGCCTTTCCCCTGAAAATGTCAAGGCAAATGGACAGTCCCCACATACAGCCTGGCAAGGTAGAGGTTAAAAGCCTATCTCCAGCAGCCAGAGTCCTGGCAGCTGCTGGCAATTAGGCTTGTCAGCGTTCCTCCCCAAAAGCTCCTGCTGGCATATCAAAATTAAGGGTAATTGCTCGCAGGCAGCCCTGTTCCTGGAGGGTGGGGATATAAACCCATCAGGAGGAGGGCTGAGCTATTGTTGCTGGGAGCGTGGGGGGGCTGAGCTGATATACTCCTTCACAAACCAGTTTTGTGCAGCTGTGGGCAGTTGGAGCTTGCTTTGGTCTTTGCTCTGGCTGGTGGCTTGAAATGGGCTGTGCTGATTTCTGATCTCTTCCAAAACATTGGCCATTGCACTGCTGTTCAGAGATGTCAGGATATTTTTAAAAGCCTATTTGGAAAAGAGTGACTTAAGTAAAGAGAGAAGTCAGTTAGTCTCTAAGTACTGACCTGTGGCTGGAGGGGATGCTATTTCTGGCTAGCTTCCTCACTTGTTTGAGCATCTTTCTTGCCAGGTCTTGGTGCGTGGAGACCACTTTTAGAAGTCCTGAATTGGTTCAGGGCCTGAAAAGAGCAGGGCTCCTTGTCCAAGTAAGCTTACAAAAAATGCTACCTTTTTAACCAGCAGCTGCTTAGGAAAACCTAGCCAAGGCTCAGAAAAAAGCAGGAGCACGGGCTTAGTTTAGCACAGTTACCCTGGAGACAAGTCCTAGCACAGCTCCCAGGCTCAGAGAGAGGCATGAGGTTCAAGTGAAAAGTTGAATTATGCAAAGTATTATAGAGGATGACACCCTTTTTTATGGTTTCTTGAGATCTGAAAGCCCGGAGAAGCAGGAATCAGGAATGGATCTATCCTGTTACTATGATGTCCTGTCAAGTGGAGATGGAGTTGCTTGGGGACTTCATGTATATCAGCCCAGTGGTCTATGGAGATGGATGGTCTGAGCATCACCTCTGTCATTTACATGGCTTTTTTGTTATAGCTCATACTGTCTGTGGGATGGTACCTCCCCTGCCACACAGCGTATGTACCTCCTGTTATAACTGGAGCCCCTTGTGCTGGAGCTGAGCAGCGTTTCTCACCTTGGGGCTGAAAGTGCAGGGGAAAGCAATCAGGGAGCGAGAGCTGGAAGTAAAAAGATGGAACAAGTCAAGTTTCTTTGAGACGTTTTAGGCTTTGTTTTTTATATGAATTGCATGTTGAACTTGCTTGTGTTTGTAGCTCAACTTCCTCTCCCCCTGGAACAGTCATAACAAATTTCACCGCTACAAATAAGCTTACATGCTTACCTCATATAAGTAAATTATAATCTTAGAATTTCTTAATGAAGCAATACTGCATCAAAAGGCATGTTTCTTACTGACTCAACAGCGACATTTTATATGGGATTGTCTGCTTTGTCAGTGAAGTGGGTCACTATCGATGGAACAAGAGCCCTTCTGTTTTTGAATTTGTTTCTGTAAGGTAATAAGCTCAGTCTATTAGACTCAGAATATGAGGAAAGAAAGAACAATTTAGGCAGAGGAAAAAACCTCTCTATTCCTGTTACTCCATATGACAGGAGATTATTTTTAATGTGTGAAGTGACCCAGTAACATGGAATTTCACACTTTCATCCACACACTAGAAGAAATTATTCTTAGAAATATAACTGCTTAAAGAAAAGTGTGGGGGAGGGAACCGAGGGTTTCATTTTTCCTCTGATGTGAACAACGAGCTCATATCTGGAAGTAAGAACCCCACTCCTCTCTCTGTCTGGTCTCCTTCTTTCAGATTTGTGGAAATAAATTCAGCTATCTTCTCCATCACCAAAGCAGGCATGAAAGGAGAGGTGTGGGACGAGCAGTGTATGCTCTGCTCCTCTTCTCATCTTCCAGAGAAGCTGAGCTAATGGGGATGGGGAGCAATTCACTGACAGTAATTGCCATGCCATCCTCTCCTCTCCTCCTCCTTTGAGCAAGAAAGACAGAGGGAGGTTTGTGACTCAGGGCATGTGTTTAAGGGCTTGTCTTTATTGCTGTGCTAGCTGAAGACACTGTGCAGAGCACTGCCCAGCAGGATGCCCATCCCCGTACAAAATTCCTACCCAGCTCCATAATGCTCTGATATGGAGTTAGCTGGCCTGGGGTTGTGAGGAAGCTCAAGTCCTGCTGATGTTTGAACTGCTAATACAAAGGGGATGCAGCTACTAGCTGTCACTCATCAGATGCTAATCCAGTCAGTCTAATGTCAATGAAATAGCTATGCTGTTAGAGCATCCTTATGCAAAGTGACTGACTCAGCTGAGAGGAGCTATTTTGTAATTAGATGACTTAAGCCAACTTTACTTTGAGGACCAGTTTTTTTCTGGAGGTACTTCTGCTGTCAGGTGGTTTATGTCTTACTCCTTCATGTACCACTCCCAGGGCCAGAGAGTAAAAACAGAAAAAATATTCCAAAAATCAGGCTCTGTATTCTTCATCTGTTTTGGCTTTAACAAATTTGAATCTCAGTTGAAAAAAAGGCTAAGAAAGCAATTTAGTTTTCAGTACTGAATGATGCTGTTCCTTGAGTAAAAATACCTTGATGGAGAAGAGAGAGCATAGGGCACAGTAAGCACGGATGAACTGTATTAAAGGATGCCAGACTTCATGTGGGGTGTTTGTTTTTACACCTGGCTCATGAAATGAAACACCTGTGCTACATTTTACATCCACAAGTTTCTGAGCAAACAGCTGCTCCTGGAGTAATATTTTAATTCACTTTCTTTTTTTTTTTTTTTTCTCCCTCTCTGTTTCTTTTTCAGATAATGGTTCTGGGTCAGGAGAAGGAGGTGAGTAGCAAACCCCAGTTACACTTGCTTTTGGGCTTGCTTTTTTACTTTGTGTGTGTTGGGTTTATGTTTTGCTGTATACCACGTGAATTAAGGGAAAATTGTGACAACTTAAAAATAAGCTTTAACTTTGCAGTGCTATCTGATAATCTCAGAACAGTGTTTGTGTAGGAACAGATTGTAGTGTGCATTTAACCAATGTTGTTCTTTCAGATTTGACCTATAAAATTTTTAATTTGTTGCCAGCAATATAGTGTAATATTTAGAACCCCTGTTTCACCTGTATTTCACTCCTGGAAATGTCTAATCACAATAAATTTCTTACCCTTTTTTTCCTTGCATTCATTTCTTTAAGTCTCCACAACATCTAGTTATTACTTTATCCTTGGTCAAACACGTTGCCTAAAATATATAACAATTACAGTACGATAGCTATTTTTTAACAAATATTATACATGTTTCTGTTCAAAGCTGCATATTTAAAGAGGGAATGTAGCATGGCTGTTACTAATAGAGTGTCCCTGTCTTTGAGCACATCTTAACCTTTTCCAAGGATTAAGAAAAAAAAAAGTAATTTTACCTTAATTCTATCCTTGATACTACTAGCTAGTATACATATAGAATTAAAAGTGTGAGATATAGATATATACAGACACGGAAAAGTTGTTTTGCTTTTAGGTGTTGCTTGTGTTTAAGAAAGTGTTGCTGTTTATACTAACGGGACTGAGTTTTGAAATGTCAGAAATCTTGTATAGCTACATGAAAATGTGTTATTGTGGAAAACAATCAATGGCATTGTTATGTGGTGAAACACAACGGTTAACTTTCCAAAAACCAAGAGCTAGCTCCCTCCTTATTCATTTATTGAGTGAAGGGGAGGCATTTCCTTCCCCTTTAATACGATGCTATCAGGAAATTCCTGGGCTGCTGCTACCACATGGTCATTCACACCTTTGTTTACTTGTGGAGCAGTGCCTGAAGGAACAATTTTCTTCTCAAACACTGCCTCTTCTTATCATCACTGGTGACTTTTTTCTGAAGCTCTTCTTTTTGAGGTTGCACCGCTCTCTTTCCCCAGCTCTGTTTGCTTCTCCTTCCCACTTGGTTAACCAGCCTGTTACTCCACTACAGCTGCTCCCCACAAGCCGAGAGCTGCTTGCTTCAGTACTGCTATGCACTTCTTACAGGAGACAGATGACAGTAATTTAGTCCACGTCTGACTTTTATTTTTGGAACCGTTTTAGAAATGTTTGAATGCTGTTGGGAATTTTTGTTTGTTTGTTTTCGGTATTTCCCAATCAGATACAAAAATCCCTGTTAAAGTCCTTTGTAGAGGTTGTTGTGTTGGTCTGGAAGAGATTGGCAGCTGACTGACAGATGTGGAGGTTCTTGGGTAATTTTATGAATAGTTTACTGAAAAATGCTGTGTTTTTTTGGTTAGGCTGCTTACTAAAGAGGTGAAAGATCCCAGTTCAGATATACTCATTGCTTGATTTGAGGCAGGAGACTGAACCAGGTCCACAGTCTTTTGGTAAAAGAGGTCCAAAATGGATTTCCCTTGGTCACTGCTGTTGTTTTCATTCTCACTGGTAACATTCATGGAGCCTGGATCAAAGGAAGTGGGAGGAAGATGACAGCCTGGCGGCTGGGAAAATGCATGCTATAGAAAGGGCTTTGTTAGCTGGAACCCAGCATGCTAGTGAATTTTAATTATTTATGCAAAATAGAATAGCATCAGCTGAGAAGATTTGGTGGTTTTTCCACACAACTTTGTAGCAGTGGTTAGTGCATTGTCCTGGGATGTGGAATACATAGGTTCAGTTCACTTCAGGCATACAAAACTGAATCTGGGTCCCTTGGGCCCAGGTAAGTATCTGCACTGCCTGGGTATTGAATAAATAGGGACAATGTAGTCACTACCTCCTTCAGCAGTTTTGTGACATAAAAGCTCTTCATTTATTTGGCTTTCTTCTGAGTGCCTTTGGGCCAACTGAAGTGTTTCTGCTTCTGTTCAGTATGAAAATAGTTGGGTTTAATTCTTAATTTTAGATAGAAAAAACATTTTCAACAACCAGAAATTGAAAACCCTGCTTGGCACCTTTTCTTTTTTTGGATACATTTAGGCTATTTATGACACATTGAATTAGTACTGTCCCCATCCACCTTCATCACTAAACTGGGTGTTGGGTAGTACTTCTGTAGAAGAGTCGGCTAGTCTTCATCATGTTGAGTCATCTTCTGTATCTGAAAGCAATCCTTCAAAGGATGGAATCCACTGTTGCTTTGATTATTGAACTCTGCCCTAGCCAAAAACTTAATATTTTTGCAGTCATAATATTTTTGTATGTGAAATTGGTTTTGTTTCATTATTTAAGTAACTATAACAGTGTTACAAGGAGACATTAAAAACATCAAAATTGTGTTGCAACTAAGGGAATTTAAAATTAAAACCAAACTTCTAAAAGAAAGATGAAGTTATTGAGCATGGGGGTGCATTGTTTGAGATCCAGACAAGGAGAAAGGGCAGGAATGTGGGCAGAGGGTGACCTGCAGGGTCAAGGTGTTCCCTGGTGTACACCACAATCCTGCCTCCCTGGTTATTCCAGCTACAGGACTGACTGGAGCACAGCACAGCTCCTTCCTGGACCAGCCTTCCCTGTTTTCTTTACAAGGAAGCCAGGACATGCTGAGATATAATAATCATCCAGGCATCATTTAGTACCATACCTTTGGCTAAGGGTACACACATGGGAACCAGATTGGATGGAGAGTGCCTTGTGGGTTAGGTGCAGCTACTGCTTGCAAGTACAAGACAGCAGCAATGGAAGTGGAAGAACACAAGGATAAGTGAGAGCGAGCCAGCAAGTAAGCAAGCATGCTAGCTTAGAGATTTGTGTTTTCTTCCTGGGATTTGCATTTCCAGATGTTAATAACAGAATCAATGTTTGCTGTGTTTCTTAAACACACAATTAGTGTGATCGTGTACACACCAGTGATGCTTGCACACATGGAATGGATGAGTGCAGCTGCTTGTGTATGCTCAGGAAGCATTGCCATTGCTGTGCAGGAGATGTACTGCTTGCTGCTAGATTTTTAACTGTAAAGTAAAGTACTGGGAAAGAATCTGAGTTTTGCTCTTGAGTTGCTATGGCTCTGCCTGTGACAGTCTCCGCTGCTGAAATTAGCTGCTTGCCTCACGTGCAGCTGAGATTTGTGCTGGTGGTTCACACTGTTCTCTTTCATTCTCCAGATACAGAACAAACTCATTAATGATTCTGAAACTTGACTTGATGCAGATTTTTCCCTCCTACTCCCAAACTGTATGAAGCTAAATGCATTAATTTTTATGTATAAAAAAAAAAAGAGTAGATTTAGAACTGATTAAAAAACCCACAAAAATCCTGTTCTTCAAAGACTGTTTCAGACAATATCTTGCCTTAGAAGTTGTCCTGTGCCACAAAATGCTAAAGGCAGTCTAACTATTGATCCAGGTTCTCTCCCAAATCATATTTGCTGTGACAAAGATACTAGATTTTAGGAAAAGAATTAAGAGGGGGATAATTTTTTCAGTACGCTTGAATGAGATGGAATATAATTTTTAAGGGTGACACAATTCTCTAGTTGCCCTCTGACATTCTGGATAAGCGATTTCCATTTTCTATGCTCTGACAGCACAGTATTAATAAAGAGTTGTAATAAAATTACTCATTTTGTTAATTTCAGAAGTCTGAACCTTCAATTAGCATAGTAAAAATTACAGTTATGAAACCAAGCTGTTGATCACTTATGGCAGTGGGTATCCCGAAGCCGCTTCTAAGAAGAGTATGGATTGTTAATTCAGAAATTAGAGAAATTTCAAAAACCTCATTACTCTACCATTATGTTTCACCTCTACAGAAAGCAATGTCAGAGAGTGGGACTCAGCCCTAAAAATGTTGCTTAGTTGAGGTCACAGCTGAAGGCGGTGGGATCATTTTGATTTGTGTTTAAGACATGGGCTTTTCTCTGTAATCTCATAGGAATAATTCTGCAATTTCCTTATTCTGAAGAATATAGTCGTAAAACTGGCTACTAATCCACTTTGTTTAAACAGTGATTTGTTATAGAGTTTGAGGCAGAACTGGTGAAAGAGAAGTCACAGACTCAGATTCATGTTCGTCTCTGCCAGTTGTAAACTGCAACACTATTTGACCTGCTTAATGTAATCCCATGACTGGTAGATCATCACAGAAATCCTCATAAAGGAGGTAGATTGCTAGCTGGCATTAAAAGTTTTCCTTATTCTATCAAATTTTTTAAATTTTTTATTTCTGGTGGAACCTGCCATGTTCTCACTGTAAAAAGAACTGCATCAACCCAATAAAGTAGCCTCAGGAAGATTAACTTTAGGTTTATATGAATGTGACTAAGGACGAGCATTCACAATTTTTTCTTCAAGGTGCTTTGTATGTGCAAATAGGTTTGTTTTTTTTTTTTCTCAAGTTTATGACTTGATACTAGCCAAGAATGTCTAAAAAGAATCAGTCACCTCACTGATCTTCTTGCCCTCTTGCTATACAAAGAGCTGGTGTCAGGACTTCTAGCCAGGTAGAAGCCCTATCAGTTAGCTGAAGTAGATTCAATGTTTGGAAGACCTCAGTCTTCTGTTAAAGCCACTGTCCTTTCGATAGTGTAAAAAAGATCCTAGCATGACATTGCCCAACTAGTGGTGAGACAACTGAAAGGGCAATCAGAGCAACCCATCTAAATTCTATTCAGATTTACAATCACATCCTACATTATTAGAAGACATTTTGGCTCGCTGCAGATGATAACATTGATTCTTAAAGGAAAGCTTTTTGAAGAAGCTGTTTCCCTTCTTTGTGTCAAAGGTATTGATGACAAAGATAATTTGCTTTTATCTGGCAGTAGTCCTTATTTTTAAGGATTTTATTGGTAGTACTTTCCATCTGGCATCCAGGCATATTGCAACAACTTTTGGCAGAGAACCTTATTTCTTC